TCAGTGATCTCATTTGGTTGTGTGAGAAAGGCTCAAAGTGAGCCAGGGCTGGAGTGCTGGTAATGGTGAAGGTTCAGGAAATGAAAGAAAAAAAATGCTGTATGGAACAAAGAGACTGTTACCTGCAGTTATCTATTATACACCGTACCTCTTAATATCCCTTACAACTCACAGCCCAAGTGTGAAACTTGACATTCAGATGCAATGTATCATAAGAGAGGCAACATTCTTTTATATAAGAAGTGCTAATTTTTGTAAAAAGTAGAATGTTTTGGAGGAAAGAGTTGTATAATGAAATCCACTTATTTAAGGGGCATATGACAGAGCTACAAGTAGCTGTTAGCTAGAAAATGTATGTGCTTTTTATTTTTTTTTTTTTTTTTTAGCTCACATTAGCTTTCATTCATCTGCATATATATGAGTTACTTCATGCACAAACACGCAGTTAGACACACAAGTTTGAGCTTTACAGCCCAGGTTAAATGCAGAAATGGAAGCACCAAGTGCTCAGCTGATGTTTAGGAAATGTCAAAGGCAAATACTTTGATTTCTAGGACTGCTCTCCCTCGTTTTTCCCATCTCAACGGGGCAGGAAGGGAGAAAATCAAGTCAGGAATTCTACTCAATGTTCCTGCACTTGGAGTTAGGCTTTCTGACACGGTCAGCTACCAGAGACGGCAGCAAGTCTCCCAATTAGTAACAGCTTCCCAGCATTATTCAGCTAGCTGGATAGCCAGGAGGGAGCATGCTGCAGCCACATGCCCAGTGCACTCTCGTGCAAAGCAGTTGCCATGGGAATAATGGCTTTGAAGGTAATTCCGGTTAGCCAGGGTTTCCCACACTAGGGACTTCACAGCCAGGAAGTTGTGACTAAATTCTACTCCCATTTAACATGGCATAAAGAAAGAATACAGGATTTAGAACTCAGAAACCATGGGCCCAGACCTGCCAGGTGCTGCACCCTTTTGATTCCCGTTTTCTCTGCAATTTTTTTTTTTTTTTTTTTTTTAAATTTGGCACTATGCCTAGAAGCTACAGGAACCAACTCTCAGGGAGACTGCTGGTTGGAGGAAGAAAAGAAAAGCATTAAGCTCTAATGGTCAGATCCTTCGTTTCCTTTTTTTATTTAACAGATGAATCTAGATGCAGGAACCTCTTTTTCATAAAGAAAAAAAACCCACAAATCTTTCAAAAAACAAATATTAAAAATTCTGCAAAAGAGTCAGGGAAAAAATGAGGTAATTCTGTCTAGAACTACAAGTGTATAAATGCTTAAAATTCAAAAGGTTATAGCAAGAATAATTGTGAGGCTCAATTTTGCCCAAGGAAGCTGTGGATGCCCCATCCCTGGAGGCATTCAAGGCCAGGCTGGACGTGGCTCTGGGCAGCCTGCTGTAGTGGCTGGTGACCCTGCCTGCAGCAGTGGGGTTTAAACTAGATGATCTTTGAGATCCTTTTTAACCCAGGCCCATTCTACGATTCTATGATTTTTATATAAAACTTTCCTCGTAGCTTATATGCTCGCTGTATGTAAATCTGGTGCCAGGTTTGCACACATAATCACTTCCCAACCAGTGTACAGAAATACTGCCATACAGCACCTCAGGCAAATCTTCACTACAGGCAGTGGCAAAGCTGTTAAGTTGGCCACAATAAGAAGCACTCTTATTAAATTGTGCAAATTATCTTCTAGAGCTAATAATCCATCTGTGATCAACAGGAATAATGGAAGTATGAAGTAGAAGTAAATAAAAATTGTGAGCATTTTTAATTGCAGTGCTATTGCTTTACGTAGAAGTCTGTACCAGTAGACTCACCTGCAAATCTGTCATCAACAGAAAAGCCCCACTGAATCTTTATACACCTCCTTGACAAGGGTCCAAATTTCATCTTCTATAATTTCACTCAGCACAACAGTCTGATCAAAAGGCCAGAAAACTACGAAGTAAAAATGCCGGTTTCAGAACTTTGCGATAGAGAGTTAATGTTAAGCTACTCTTCTTAGCAAAGGTACTTATTACATGCATTAGAGATGTAAACCTGGAGAATAGCTTTACAATGTATTATACAATATATATTAGAGAAAATATCAACCCCTTCACAGCTTTCAAGAACACAGTTTCAAAAGCCTTTTCTACAACAGCTGGTTATTATGTAGACTGAAAGCCATCTTAAGTATAGAGCTGTCAGTGACATGAAATTAACCTTTGATTTGACAAACTAAACTCCAGGCTGAAAGAAGGGAAAGCTTCATCACCATTAACAAGCAGTACTGTGAGCACAGACTGTTTTGGAAAACAACGAAAAATCACCTCCAATATTTATCCAAGCACAGGAATTAGTGAATTTAAACTTGACTAGCATCAGCTATGCAACGTATTTTAACATGTTTAATAATGTTTTGTTTTTTTAAGCAGTCTGTTTTTAAGAAGTGAATGAGTAATGCTCTCAAGGGGAAACTGGAAGAAATAGATCTGAAGAAACTTATGCCCACGTAGTCATTAAGAATGCATGTGAGTTTATTGCACAGAAGCCCATCTTTTCTTTCTTCATTAATCCGGACTTTACTGGCAGCTGCGTACATTTCATGCTTTCTTCCTCCTAAGCCTACAGTTCCCAGAACCCACTGCAAAATACCCTCCCAACAAGGAGGAAAGCCTCCGCTATGAAAACTGTTATGAAAACGGATTCTTCCAGAGCTCTTGTACTACTCACAGGCATCAAAGCCCCATACCTCTCATCTGACCCCCATAATTCTTGCTCTGATGGAATGCAGTTGAAGCAGTGAACTGGTTTCCGCAGTTCTATTGGTGCATCCTTAAAACTTGCAATAAAAACACTGGCGGAGGAAAGAAGTAATAAATCATATAGAGAAAGCAACTTGGAACAATATTTTCTGTGCTGGAACATATTTTAAGGACATAGGTGATCTATGCAGAGAATGGGAAGAAAAACACAAACCACCTTCTGGCAATCATGGGAGAAACAAAGACAGTGACTAGAAATCAAACTGAAATTGAAAAATAATCAACAAAACAGTCTGTATTAAGGACATGCTGAGTGCCAGCGAGAGCTCTGAGGTACAGCATGTGTTATTAAGCTGTCTGCATTAGACAATTAAATGAAGCAATTAGATTTCATAAAGTAGCCCATTATTTTAGGAATGAAACAAAGGCTGGAGGAAATGCAGCTGCCTGTGTTTGAAGAATGGAGAAAAATGGAATACAAAGCACTGCATTTGAAGTAGTCACAAAAACCAACTCATGCAGGGGGAATTTAAAAGTCTAGAAAACTTCTCTTAAACTGTCATGGAAAAAAAAAATGCAGCTTCTTAAAAAATAAATAAATAAATAAAAAATCAATGTGCAATATGCAATTATGGACATCTTCAAGTATCAAAGGAAATGGCAGGCATGTAGTGAAAGGGACTATAAAGGGACATAAAGAAAACAATCTGCCAACATCAGATTCTCCTGAAATACTGCTTTTTTACTGCGCTTTGACATGTTCTCTTTTCAAGGCTGCCAAATAGTCTCAAGGGACAAAAACAAACACTTTAGTGATTCTCACAGATATTCATGCAGATTATCACAGAGAGAATTTGCAAAAATGAGTAATTAAGTTACTTGCCTTATGCATTCAAAGTGTTAATACTCTATTACCAGAAGAGACTTCAGAGAATAAGACTTCTGAATGCATTCTCTAGGCGCCTGCAGGTTTAGTACAAGGCGTAAACTACAATTTTAATTATAAAACAACTACAGTATCCTTACCGCAGCATGACCAGTATAGAAAAAGTAAGAAAATCAATTTTAATACGGTTATTTACTCATAAAAGGTGTATGTCCCATGCATACACTGTGTTCAATTTTAGGCTCCTAAGGGCTGGCAGAATTTTTTTTTTCTTGTATACCTCCCCAGGCAAAAGCATTCAAAGCTACAGCTACTTCCCGCTGGCCCTCCCATCCTTGCTGATGTTCCAAGAAGGACATGGTTAACACTAGGCCTGTTTACCACAACTCCTTGCATTAATAGTCCCCACCATTTATTTTCTCCTCACTAGAGATCTCCTCATAAACAGCAACCCTGTAAGACAAATCCAGTTCCATTTCATTTGCTTTTAAAGAAATACATTTAATGAAATACGCACAAGATTACATGGTATAAAACTACGCACAAATCCTGAAGTTTTACATTTTCTAAGGCAGGAGATTTCTTGCAGATGAACATTTGGCTACAACTGCTATTCCTAATGATTCTAAAAATACCCCGATTATATACAGTAGGCAATATACTTCTTTTTAATATTCCAGATAAATGAATCTTTGGTAAACCAGAAGATTTATGACAAGTAGATAAGGAAAACATGTTAGTGGACAGACTAAACTTGGAACTGCTGCAAACTGCTTCACCACAAACATAACTCATTTTGCTAACTTCACTTCTCTTCCACTCTGCTCACAAAGATCATTACTACATTACATGAAGTAAAAAAAAGATTAAATCTTCAAATACTGCAGAATGCGGATCAACACTATTAAAAACATCTCTAAAACTTCTGAGGTGAAGTGCAGCATTTCCTCCCCCACCAGAACTTTGGAACTGAGAATTGATGCTGACAGAGTATTGGAACAAGCACTTGAAGAACTGCACCTGCCAAAAACCAGAGGAACTTTCATATTACCCATTGTTTTTTGCTCTCATATAATCACTAATATGATTTAAATGATTCTCGCAAGCATTTTTTAAAAGGAAAGCCCAAATAAGAACTTCACGTTACAGCAGTTTCCATCAAGTACAATCAAGTATTCAAGGGTAATCTTCTAAACTAGAAGCACCAACTTCAACAAGAACTTGAAAATTATGACTGTTAACAACATTTATACAGAGCAATGATGTAATACTACATGATGATACTTGGTCTTCACAGTAATAGCACCATGCAACAAGAACTTGGGCAAAGCCAAGTCACATGGGTACAGTAGCAAAAAAAAATAAAAATAAAAAAAAAAAAAAAAAAAAAAAAGCCTTCCTGTTTAGGAATCATCTATGTAGCTAGATGAATGTTTGCAGTAACAATCCAACTCATCTAAACAATAGTAATATCAGAGAATTTTCCCCTCTGGCATAACAAATAACTCCAAGGCTTCCATTGCCCTATGTGTCTTGAAGCATGTGCAGCTTTTTCCAGTGTTACAGTAGGCATAAAATCTGTACTTTTTTAGGTCTGGTCTCATTTTACAAATGCTCCTTCAACTGTGAGTTGCTTACAGCCACTTTCTAGAAGAGTAAAGGAAAGGGAACAAAGTAAAGAATTGCAGAGAACTTGGAAGTACTACCAGTTCCAGTAGTACTCGAACCAAGAATGACAAAAGGTATCTGATCTCCACAGGATATCAGTGGAAAGTTAGTACTCTTCCCATAAGCTTTCAGGCTCCTTGACTAAAAAGAAGTCATTTTTGTTTTCTAAGTTCCTGTTACAGCATTTTTATTTATTTATTTATTTATTTTAAACCAAGACCACAAGTAACTGTGGCTGACTGATGAGGTGAGCTGCAGCATCCAGCAGACACAACCACGATTCCCCGATATAGATTATGAGATGACTAGCTTTAGAAAATCTTAAAACATTCAAGGCAATGAAAAAAAAAAAAAAAAAAAAAAGTCTGCTGTAAACATCCATAATCACTTTTGTACTGTGCAGGTGACAGAGCACTGGCACAGGATGCCCAGAGAAGCTGTGCTATCTTTCCTCTGGAATGTTGCCTGGGCATGGTATTGGGCAGCCTGCCACATGTACTTGTGCTTCAGCAGGCAGTTGGACCACATAACCTGCAGAGGCACGCTCCAACCTAAACCATTCTGTGATTCTGTGTATAAAGGCACTTGATAATTAATTTCAACAAGATTGTTTTTCAATCCAGGCACATTTTTTGCAAAAAACAAAAACAAAAAAACACTACAGTAGTTATGAGTCCTAATGCACTGATGTCTTACAGACTGAGCTTACGGTCTTCTTTGAATTATTTTACTGATAGCAAAGGTGTTAAAAAATTATGGAAGATATTACCTTATGCTACTCAAAACAAAGAGAAGACTCACTACATAGCTAAGAGCTCAGCCTCCTTCCCCCTTTTCACACTAGTTACAAACAGATCACTTAAAAAGTATATATATATATATATATACTTTTTATTAGGAGGTTGGAATATTCATGTATATATATACACACACATATACATGTGTATATGATATATACATATATATATATATAAAATGAAATTGTCAGTTCCCTCAGAAGTGTCCCATGGATGTAGTTACAGACAAGGCACTTGTAAGGAATCTGCAATAAAGCATATATTATTTTTAGGTGGGGGGCAAAACTAAAGTCTCGGAATTTTCTGCAAAAAATTTGTATTCCAAAAGTTAAAATCTCTTAAAGGAAGCACCAACTGTGAAGCACTGCCTGAAAGGAAGGATTTGTTTTCACATTAGTTATAACCTGATCTGAAATTAACCTATTAATTTTAAGGCACATAAATTAATGGCAGAATTAACAGAGCCAATGACAGATGATCAAAAGGCACTTTTGCTTCTTTCTTCATTTGCATCTGTGATGTGAAAGTGCTTTTCTCTTCATTTCACATGTTTTCTGTGTTCAGACGTGAGAGCTTCTCTTCAGCTATGTCTGCCACTAAATTCATATTACAGTCTCGAAGAGCCTTTATTAGGTCAGTCACCTTTGCATCTTTCCCCTTCAATTTCTGCCATTCTCGAAGTGACTGAACCAATTGCTCCCGCAAATTCCGTGGATTGTCTTCTTCTATTCTCTCTATCATCACTTCCGAAAGGTCAAGTTTTCGCATCAGCCTTCTCCAGTCTCTCCCAACATTTTCGCATATAACTTCGATAACTACCTTCTGCAAACCTGGAACAGCAGAAATACATATGTGAGGACATACAAAGAAAGATACTTTTATTAAGCAAAACACTATTATTGATGTATCGCTCATAATGAAAAGCTACTGCGTGCACTGGAAGCTCCTAGTACAGAGCAGGGCTTCCAATTAACCACCAGGCTGAGAGCTGAGAGACTTGGGACTCCTCAGTCTGGAGAAGAGAGAATGAGAGAAGACTAATAACTGTTTGCAAATATCTGAAGTGCAGGAGTCATGTTGACAGGAGTGGATTCTTCTCAGTGGTGTGCAATAGAGCCAAGGGCAACATACAGAAAGTGAAACACAGGAAGTTCCACAGAAATACAAGGAAGAACTTCTTTACTGTCAGAGTGACAAAGCACAGGAACAGGCTGCCCAGAGAGTGATGGAATCTCCTTCTCTGGGGATACTGAAGACCCACCTAACTGTCTACCTGTGCAACCTGCTGTTAGCGAACCTACTTTGCAGAGTTCCTTTCCAAACCCTACGATTCTGTGACTCGGTGACCAGGGCTAAAGGAGCAGCTGCTCGCAGCATATGCTGCCCTCAAGGTACGCTTCCAGGGTATGACACCGTCTCTGCAGCAGCAGTTAAGCACAGCAACAGCACCGTTGGCAGCAGCCACAGATGGGAACTGAGGGCTGAGCACTCTCACGCCTCAAACACACGTTTACTGGGATCACTTGGAAAAAAAATAACGAAAAAAATAAAAAGCTGCACCTACGTCTTTCCTTCACGTCAGGCCGCTCATCAGGAGCGCTGGCTTCTCCCTCCTCTATGAAATGCTCCAGCCGTAAGACCAAATCTTCTCTTTTAATGCTCTTAAACATGGTTTTAAGCAAGTGTACGTTATGACTTGAAATCAGCTGCTGCTCCATGAGGAAGTTGAAGAGCTCCCTGCCGCTCTGGACAGACTCCAGCTTCCTTTTCCCAATTTTGTCCTGGCACAGAAACTTCAGGTCGTGCAGCTCGCTGGCAGACAGACAGGCGGACAAAGAATTCAGCAGAGCCAGAAAGGGATCCATGGGGCTGAGGCCTACAGCGCAGCCGGCACCGAAAGAGGCACAGAGCGCACACTCCACCCTGCCGGCGGATTTCACTCGCGCTTCCGCAGTGCCACCGCGGGAACGCCAAGCCCGCCCCGGCCCGGCCCCGCTACGGCGGGGTGCTGACCCGCGCCAGCCGGGCCGGAAGTGACGTCACGGCGGCGGGTTCTCCCGCAGCTGTCAGAAGATGGCGGCCGGTGTTTCTTAGGGGTGTGGTAGCGCCTAGCAGCTGTGCGACACGGTTTGTGTCTGAGAGCAAAGACTCATGTGCTTCCAGTTTATTATGAGGAAGAGGGCCCCCTTCGCATGGGGCTGCTCAGACGCCTCGGCTCCCTGCCTTGGGACTGCAGGGCTCCCTGCCACCTGGAAGTGTGTGGGGCTTTGGCAGAACCAAAGTGCTAGTCATTGTGCTCGTTACCACTTGGCCTGTTAATTAGGAACCACACAGTGCGCAAAATCCCCTGGAGATTAACTGACTTGTCTCATAGTACTGAATTAAAAACGTGTGCTTGGAGCCAAATGTGAGATTGCCCATCTCCTGCTGCTCAAGCAGTAGTGCCAATTCCCTACACCTTGGCTTTGATTGGGCTGTCATTATAGTAATGCATCTATGCCTCAGTTGGGAGGCCTGTATGTTCCCTGTAAGTGCACAATTACTGGCTTTCTTGTGAGCTTTATCACATAGTGTTTTACCTACCAGCTAAATGAATGAGGATTATTTGGGGTTATACACTGATGAAAGGAGCCAACAGAGAGTAAGAAGTGCAGTATCACAGCCCCTTTCTCAAAGAGATACTGCTATGTGCATTATGTCCCTGGAAGCTGCTTAAGAAAGGAACCTCTGCCCTCGCCTGAGCCAGAGGCCTGAGCCATTCACTAGCAATGCGGGGCTTGTTGTAGCGGTCTTATTACTTGCAAAGATTAATTGTGACATGAAATAACTCCTGACCTTTAAAACAGAAGAAGCAAGGCAAATCTTTAGTGTCCACATTTTAAAGCCAATTCTTACACAAGGTGAAAGGTTGTGAACTTATGTTGAATGGGAAAATTCAAGTTCATGCCATTGTTTTGTATGTCTCTAAAGTTCAGAGCAACCGTACTGGTTTGTCTCACAGCACAGATAGGTAATTCAGGACTTTCCTTGTTCCTTTGGTTGATTCCCCAAGCTACTCCATTACTAGATTGCTTCTAGTATATCCTTCAATTTACTGTCACTGCAGTACACAAATAGAACTATGATTCTTGGCGTAGATTGCAGTTGCAGATACATAAACTTGGAAGTTATCATTTTCTACATCTTCTTCCCCAGTCTCACATTCCAAGCTGAGGTACAACTCCTACTACTCCCAAAACATTTCTAAAACTCCCAATTCAACTCCAAACTCCAAAACAATCTCTCCTTAGATAAAATTGCTAGATTTTCAGCATCCTGTTTCAGTCTATTACGCAGATCTAGTCTTGCATATAATCAAGAAAGCCAGTATACAGAACTAGCTACAGACATTAAGTCCATCTGTGAACTAAACCAGTTTAAAGCAGGATTTTTGGAGTCCTTAATTGCTACAAATTGGATATTGCATGGTCACATGGGAGGAATGAGCTGTGCATGTTCTCAGGGATGTATTTTCTCCCTGTAGTCCTGAAGATTCTTCAGTGTGTGGAGGAATGAACATGAATAAAATGTGTAGTGTAAGCCAAGGAGGAATGTGCGTGGATTAATTTAGAAAGCAGACAGAAGTCCCAATTGCAATACAAGAGGTAAAAAACAACAAGAAACAAAAAAACCGGATTAATTAAAATCTCACTTTAATATTGCCAAAACAATGACTCTATAAAGCAAAAACGTATAAGGAAGGACCAAAGCACATGGCACGCAGCTTGTGCTCAATTCAGAAACAAGCCTACATGAATGAAGCCTACATAAGTCAGCGTAGTTTATACCTTTTTCCTCAGTCCCTTTCATGCAACTGAAATCAACATCACCTGAGATTTTCATAGGTTTGCATGAACTCAGTGGCCACATTCTGCACTGACGTATGAGGAGGTGTGAAAACAATCCCATATGTCTGTGTAATTTTCAGGGAATCTAAATTAGTAACAAACACAGAACTATGCAATATAAATCATTATTTAAGACGTAACTCATTGCTTAAAATGCTTTTGAACTCACTTTTAACGTCTGACATAGTAATTTAGTAACACCTTCTGTTATGTCTGAAATCTGAGCTGTTAACTGCACATTCACAGATAAAAATCCTGGAGCAACGTGCTTTCCTCCAGTTGTTTCCTTTGAAAGTGGTTTGAGATGGGGTTTGCAAGGAAAATATTTGCCAGGGTCAACAGATCATAACGGCATCTCATTAGAATAAAATTTAATGGAAACGATTTGTTCGACTAGCTCAGATTTCAGCAGACGTTTCCCAGAAATTAAACGATCCGGTTCCTTACCACATAGGTTCCTTGAGGTATGACGATTCCTTCCCAAATGCTGCAGAGGGAGCTCGAGGCTTTGGAGTGCACCGTGCTGAGCTTTTTTGACTTCATCTCCGCTGAAGGAGCAGGACGAGGAGGGTAAAATGATTCATTACTGCCGAGACTTGGAAAGATGTCGGTCACTAGGACACATAGGAACAAACACATTTAAAGAGTGGGGAAGCGAAGCAGCAACACACATGGGCTGACATTCTCAGGGGCTGTGCAGTCATGGCATGTGAATACCTGTGGGCAGGGTTTATGACTTACTAAAGAACTGCTTTAAAAAGCAGCAGAGTAATTTACATGCCCATAAGAGTAGAATGTTCTAATGAAACGTACACCGCTGTCCTGACTGTAGGTGACTGACTCAGCTTTCACAGAATTTCTGGAAGATGCTGATAGTGGCCTATCAATATCTAAAGAGGGGCTAAAAGAAAGAAGGAGACAGACTCTTTAGCAGGCCTATTATGATTATGACATGGGGAAGTGGTCTCAAACTAAAATAGGGGGGATTTGAACTGGATATAAGAGAAATTTTTTACAGAGAAAGTGCTGAGGCTCTGGTGCAGGTTGCCCAGAGATGCAGTCTTCGAGAATGTCTTTGGAGACATTCAGGGTCAGGCTGGATGGGGCTGTGAGCACCTGGTCTAGAGTAGGTGTTCATCTTCCATGCAGCAGAATTGAACCAGATGGCCTTTAAAGGTCCTTTCCAATTCAAACAATTCTATGATTCTTTCCAGCCAAGGCAACTTGAATTTCTTGTTGCCTTCCTTCTTTACTCTGGAATCATAGTCTAATCTGCCACACAGCTGATGAAAGTGTGTGACATTTTCTCTGAGAGCTCTAAACCAATCTGATGTAATCTAATTTGCTATTAGTGCTCATTAGCAAGCATATGAGTGTGTAAGTCCAGCTTTGATGACTCTGTTTCCTCTAATACTGTCAAACAACTTATTCCTCATATGGCAGATAGCTTTCTATATATACTAACAGCCTGCCATCTCTTTTCAGACAGTTTCTTTTATCTAGCAAGGGATGTGCTTGTAGTGTGCAACTGACACAGCAGAACTAGTTTTAAACAAGCTAATTCAGATGCTGGTAGCAATACAGCATGCTCAAATTTGAGATAATATTGCAGATATTCAAAGAAATGCCTCTCCTGAAGCCCATAGCAAGGGCTACACATACATAGAGTTTAAAATGTTAATCTGTGTATTTTTTTTTCTTTACTCTTCTTTTGCAAAGAGCCATGCATTTTTGAGCCATATATTTGCTGCTTTGTATGTACATACTTTGCTTACCTTTGATATGTTTGGAGTTTAAATCATTGCTATCATGTCAGTCCTGTCCCATCAGAGAAGAGCTCAGCTCCTGGGTTTGTAAGGAGCAAAGAATTCACTTCTGTATGAATTCCTGTCTGGTTTTACAGAGCAGAAGGAGGTGAAAGTCTGAAAGGAATCATGACTGTATCTTTGCAGACTTGTAAAGGCATTTTACTGATGTTGTAGTTGCTTTAAATAATATGCAGGATGACAAGATGGTCAACAGATACCTTCAGAGGTGCAAACTGAAATCAAACTAATGAGACCTTGATGTTCTACTGCTGTTTCTTTACAAGCTGCATGTTGGTACTCATGAGGTTGTCTGGGCTGACTGTAGAATTGGCAAAAGGGTATTTTTACTTTTATTTATTTTTTTAATAAGTGGAAGCAAAAAGGAGAATGTCCATATGGCAAAGGTGGCATCAAAATTCAAAGCGTTCCATCATTATAAGGTAAATCTATGTGCTGCTGCCCACCTTCCAGATAGACTGCATTTGTGCTTTCAGAAGTCCTGCATCTAGAGAGGGGAGCAGACTCACCATTTTGAGCAGGCAATGAGAAATGTCCATAGAAATCAGGGCATTTAGGTGAGGTGCTATTTATGAATGAAATAGCTTTGATACCTTTTCTAACTTATCAGACAATTCAGTAATGAATAATTCAGGAAGATTATAAAATCTTCCTGTCACTTCTGAAAAACAGGTTAGACAAACTTCTTGGCAGAGACATTTTTAATCCCATGGTGAATAAACTGACTTCTTAGCCAACCTATTCCAAGTCTCACATTCATTGTTTGCAAAATCATAAAACATTTTCATCAGATAAAGTTTCTGCAGTTCTGCTGTTGTAAGGTTTTGGGTTTTTTTGTGAATAAATCAAACTGTTCATAATTCCTATATTTCCTTATCAGAGATCACCTCTGTTACTATAATATCTTGTGTAGAAAGAAATGCTCTCTAGTACAGAAACCACTTGTGAAGGGACCTGGGATCCTAAGAGAACACTGTCCATGATAAAAGGGACTACAAGAAATGACGAGTTATTGTAGGTTGTGGGAGATAAAATTAGAAGCAGACTGTGGGAAAAGCAAATAAGTACTGAAAAGTAAGTTAACTCCAGCATTGTTGTATATGGATAAAAGATCTGGCCACGTAACAACAACAACAAGCAATAAGTTGTTAACAGATGCTTGAACTTAATATTGAAACAGAAGAAGTGTTGATATAATTCTGTTGATATAATTCTGTTGTGTTGTTGTTGGCAGAAGACGTTAGTTAAACTTTAGGAAGAGGGTAAATTGTAGACTTCTGTTTATTTTCTCAAGCAAAAA